TCTTCAGAATGTAAACAGCTAAATTTTTATAGCAATGATCTTATTGTGAGCAGAACTGTAATGGCTAGGATTACTGCTGGGACTGCCCTTGGAAACACCATACGATTAGTCCACCTATGGAATTACATATTGTGAATGGAACAAAAGCAGTTTTTCTAGTTACTTTCAGAAGGTGAAGCTGCAAATTTAAATGTAGCAAGGGGAGTAAGAATAGGTTACAAAATGGATTTTGATATATTTGAATAAATTACAGTGAGGTCCACAAATATTTGGGCATCAGCAAGATATTATTATTTCAGCTGCCTACCACAGCATATTAGAGCGTGCTCAAAGTGCTGACTTACAGCTTTATTTTGAGGGTAGTTGGATCTAAATCTGGTGAATGGTGTAAGAATTAAAACCACTTTCATACAAAGTCCCACCATTTTTAGAGGCCCAAAAGTAATTGGACAAATTAACATAATCTTAAATATTCATTTTAATACTAAAATAACAGATACATTTGTTTTGCCTATTTTTTAAACATAATACTTTTTAAAACTTGATATATTGTTTCTTTCCCAGTGATTCAATGTTTCTACAGTCTAAATAATCCTCCAGTCACATATGTTTGTTAATTTTTAAACGGATTGGAATAAAATAATAATAAATAAATTGTGGTGAAATTTGAATTGAACTAAATAATTTCTTAAAGAATTGTTATTGAATGGAATACTTGCAAGGTAAAAACCTTAAGCAATGTTTGTAGGCAAAAAGTAACGTATTTACCTATAGACCTAGATGGAACATTTCCTAACCTGTTTGCTGAGAACCTGACCCATCCCACTCTTCCTCTGTTAGTTTAGAAGAACAATTTGTCATGGCACAGGCAGTAAAACCCCTCAGGTCATCTCTGCTCTGCTTTTCTGGAGTGACAATCTCAAACCTCATTTCAGATTGACCCACAACAGTCATCTCATGCTCAGTGGAGTCCTTCACCATGGTCCTGATGGGCTTAGTTCCTGCTCTCTGTCTGACCCTCCTCACTCTCTGCATGGCACGCTTTCCTTTTGCATTGCCGTACTGCTGGCAGAAGACTGAGGTCTCTGTAGTGCAGGAGCTACTTTGAGGCTCCGAGGCCTCAATGATCTCTGCTTTCAACACCCTTGCAGTTTGAGCCTCAGTGGATACTTCTACCTTTCCTTTTGCGTCGCTGACCTGAGCCGTAACGTCTTGGGTCAAGGTTAAACAGGGGATCGGGGTTTGTTTTGTTGAGGGTCGAGAGCTTGCTTGACCCTTGCCTTGCCTTTCCTGTCTGGACACTTTCACTCTCTCTCTCTCTTTCAACCTGTCCAGCACTGTAGCCCTCTGACCTGCAGAACCAACACAAGCATATACTGAGTTGTCCGTTCATTAGGTACACCTACTTTGTACCAACACTCATTGACTGTTTTATCATTTAGGTTAGAGGAGCCCAACCCTGGTCCTGATGATTAAACATTCAGCACCAATCCCAATACGACAGACTTGATCCAGTTAATGAAGGCCTTTAGGAACTTTAGGATCTGAATGTCAGAACTAGGTGTGCTGTAACCAAATTCTCCAGAGCAGCCCTGATATACAGTACTGTGCCCAAGGCAGATATCACCATTCATAAATTGAATTTCAGCTAAAAACAATCATTAAGTACAAGGTATTTATTTTTCAACACATAATTCTGAGGACATTAGATCTAAGATAATCCACTCGCATAAGGAATGAGAAAGGTAAACAACAATAAGTGAAAAAAACAGGTGTGGCCAAAAAAATAAAATAAAAAGGTATATATAAAATGGGACTCCTAACAACCACGCAATACCTGCTACACCACAAAACTATCACCATTAGATAAACAGTACTTAAGATTTCATCTTTGAGAGAGACATTGACATCATTGAATGTGTCTGGGATTATTTAGTTCATGAAAAGCAGAAAATGCAACCAACTTCTAAGACTGAACTTTTGAGGTGTGGAAAAATATCCTGGGAGATTTCTTTAAAAACTGAAAGTGTCCTAAAAAATGAAAGCTGTAATAAAGACCAAGGGTGCATTCACTAAATACTGAAAAAAAATTGTAATATATTTTGGTAAGGTTTCTGTATGATTTTTCATTGAATATGTATTTTCTGCTTTTGTAACTGGCACAGAAAAAAATATATTTCATACTGGCAACTAAATAAATTAAGTGGTGGTACTGTGTGTGTTCTTTGTAGGTATACAATGACTGGCTGTAGCCCTTCAGTTGCTATGCACAGTTTATCATCCACATTTGACCCTTTCCACCGCTGATCAGATATTGCCTGGGTGGTGGAGCAACCCCAGCACAGCAGTGATACTGACATATTAGTATGGGTGTCGGTACAAGTTGATTCACACTGCACACACTTATTGAACACTGACATACCTGCCTTGTTGGTAAACCTTATACAGTTACAAGAATTAGCACATTTGTTATAATGCCCAATTTATATTGGTCATGCCCAAGCACTTGAGTTTCTGATCACAGAAACACAGGGACGTATTTGGCTGAATGTTTTTGGTTCTCACTCAGAAGTAACAGGTGTTGAAAACCCTGGCAAACAACACTACTTGCACCAGCAAAATACACAATGCCATTACCTATTGTGCTCCCTGTCCACTGCGGACAAGGTAGTGGGCGGCTGTTAAAACTGTGCGGCACAAGACAGGGTACTGTCAATAACTGTAAACTTACAAAGGGCACCTATATAGTTGGTGTAATGATAAAATGACTAATAAGTGTAGGTACAATGTAGGCGTAAACTACCAAGACAATGTGTAGCACAGGCACAAAGACCTAAAGAGCTGCATGTCACAGACAAACTTTATCTCACTAGACATGCTGATAAAGAGCTGAATTGTCTTTACTGTACAGCAAAGCCATTAACAGAAATCCCTCTTTACTGTCCTTAATTCTAGGCTGAGGAGGGCAAAGAGGGGGTTGAATTAGGCTAATGCAATTAGATATATTAGAGATAAATATATGGCTGGCCGAGGCAGGGTCCAGCCATTTAGCAGTCTTGCTTGGCTGAAGACAGCTTATTAGAATGTCCTGAACGGCACAAATTCTCACACTCCTCCCTTTAATGTCCTTATTCAGATTGATACTAATGGCCCAGCCTCATACCGCAACGCAATTACAGTCACGGACGAGACACTCAGGCCGAGACAGATGAAGAGGGATGAGCTTTAATTGAAAGTCTTTTCTCCCAGTTCCTCTCTGGCCCCCTACATTAACAGTGGCACTGCTTAAACCCATCTAACGAGACAAATCTCGTCAGGCTAATGGCTCTTAATTCGCCCAAGCCCTCTCCTCTCTGCCGGATCGTCAAAACTGAAGACTTTGCTAGACAAAATTACGCTCTATAGCCAGACCACGAAGCCCCTTAAAATAATGCTAATGTGGCTCAAATGATCCTCATCCCTGCTAATGTAAGTCATTAAGTAGAACTTCTAGTGAACAAGGGCTTGGGACAAACATATGCTCCCTAATGTGCTTGTCGGCAGAAAATAAGAGAAGCAGAGGAGTCGTTTTCAGACAACCATAGCTGGAAGTAGTAGGTGCAGACTGTGCCAATATTTTTCACACATCAGTGTATTCTTTATAAATGGAGGGGAAATATTCACAATATTTTTTCTCATCAAAAACAAGGAAGTAAACTGCCCTCTAACCTCTCCACCCCCACACAAACCAAGTGCCAGAGAGGCAACAAAGGAAGGAACAGCAACACCAGCACTGAGCTTAGGAGAGATTCGTCCCAAAGCAGCGAGGCGGTTACTGTACACAGATGTTCATTACAACAGAGCCAAAACCACAGACTCTTTGAGCTGCCCGCGCATTCTTCTTCCCCCTAAGCAGAAAGCACACATGCACTCTCTGCTTAACAAGAAAACAATCAATTCTTTTGCACCACGACACACCTACCAACACAGAAGGAGAACAAAATGAATATTTTATTACGTATTCAGTTTAAATACATTACTTGTTTTTTGGTATTGAAACAATTTGTTCAAAAAGGCAGCTTTTCTTGAGTTCTCAGTGGGATCAAGACGAATGGTGGGAGCTTCCTGTGGCTGTTTATTGCCCTACTGCCCCTTCACATCACTTGTCTTCCTGCATAGCTACACAGCCTTCGCCTTGTTTATATTCTAAGGACATACAATTAAATTTTTACTGGGCTGTAATGTGTGTGTAAAAATGTAAAACCGCCCAGCCATGTGAAATCAACCATGTAAAAAACCCTCAGACCCCTGTTCCACTGCACAGCCACTACAGGCCCACTCATTAAAATCAGGCCTCATATTTCTAGGAATGGGAGACGCACTCGACACTCATTTTAATGAGTTTCAACAAAAATAACAGCATTATGTTAAAAGCGGTTCTGCAGTCATAGGCTGGTCATGTTTGTTTATTAATAGCACAGTACCTAGGGATGAGGGCTGCACAATATATTGTTTGTTGATTGGACTGGCCTGAATTAAATGAATACTCTAACAAAGTATGCAGAGAAACAAATGGATTCAAGCCTGTAATTGCAGAACTAATGGTTGCACCTACATGTTAAGTGGTATATAAATACATTTAACCATTAATTATATTAAATTACTGCACGGTAAGAAAAAATGTTGAGTGCAAAGTAAGCAATAAGACGTTAGAATTTGAGGTATGGCAATTGTGATGTATCATCTCAAGTATGCAAGTGTAGTGATCGTTATCCATCCAGTCCACACTGTTTCTGACTCAACTCTACCATGTAACTGCTTCAGGCAGGCCTTTCTTTTGTAATTAAACAATTGTACAGTATGTTGCCAGCACAAAACTTGACAGCACAAACAGCATTTTTGTTCATTTTAACAAAATCAAGTTTTTACCCGTGTCAGAAAAGTGTCTCCCACACAACATTAGAATGGTGCAGAAACTGTTCTGCTACTCCCACACCAACAAGATCAACATGCTTTGTTAAAATATTACTTCAACTCTAGTTTAGAGAACTAAAGAGAGTAGGCGTGTGCGATTTGACTTGATCTCTATAGTGTTTACACTCATGCAAAAAGTAGGAAAAATGTAGGAAAAGTTTTGACAGACTCACGTTTAGCGCAGTCGGTTAGACTGAAACACTGATTAAAATGTAAGCATATTTGTTTTGTCAGAAAGGTGACTATAAAAAAATACTTTAAATATTGTGAATTCTAAGGGTGATTTTGAGAATGAGTATTCGAGTGCTCGTTTGGAAATATCAAAGCCTGTAAAACTTTGTTCGGAGGTGGCTGTAAAGTGAAAATAAGCACTCTAACCAATCTCTAAATGTTTCATTGTGTGCTGACCCCCTACAGATGTTCTGATGAGAGTTCTGTGGGGTGATCTGACGAATCTAGGCTTTCAAATGATCCAACAAATATCATTTTGATCAAAATAACACAGGCCTGTGTCACATCAAAGGTTCTCAATTATTATTTTTTTTTAAATATTTCGCGAGACACATGAATCGTAACCATGCAGATAAAACTGCAATATGGTTTAATGTCCATAATGCGCAGCCTTATTCAGAATTTATTTCCTAAAACGTTTTTTTTTTTTTAACCATTATTCAGATTGCAACTTTTCAAATCAATCATCAACCGTGATGACATCTGGCTGGCTGTCCTTAGGGAGGCACATGAAGTGTGCAGTGATTTTACCTGCTCCTACTGGTTTGCTTGGGGCTTTCTGTCTAGACCTGGAGAGCCTATGTGACTTGCTGTTATGTTGTTGTTGCCTTGTGGTCCTGTCCTCACTGCCTGTGCTACAGCTCATCCCTGCCTGCTCTGCCACACTCTGAGATAGCACACTGTCTCTGATAGGAAACTCAGTGCCTTCCCTAAGATCAGTAGAGCCAGTGCAGGTTCTCTTTTGGCTCTTTTCACAGTCAAACAAGTCCTCAGAAAGTGGCCCATTAGATGAAGGATTGATCTGTTCCATTTTAAGTGAAATCTTTGGCTCTTCTACGCTTCTACTGTGGTAGCCTCTTCATCCTCCTCCTCCTCTTCAAACAGCTCTGGGGTGTAGAAGATACTCTGGTCCTGCTCTTCCCTGTCTTCCGGCTCTACTACACTAATATCCTTGCTGGATGTACAGTCCAGGGCTGTCTTTAGAGGAGACAGGTCTAGTTGTTGAGGAGGAGGATCAGGTGGAATCTCATGCAGTCCACTCTTGGTAAGACCCCCTGTCTGAGCTGTCTGTTCCTCCTCAAGCGCTGGAATGGTATGCTTCTTACTGATGTCTGGATTTCCACTCTGGCCAGTGTCCTTTTTGGAGTCTTTACATTTAAAAAGAGGAGTTCTCAATCGGGCACTGACAGGAGTGGAGGTGAACAGGTTGAGTGAGGATCGTGACGTGGGCAAATTTTTATAGCCATTACACTCTGGAGCTGGTGGTTCAGATGGAGGCTGTGGAAACTTCTGGTCACCTATCCAAAAACAAAACATAAATTAAGTATAAATTAAAATCTCAAAACTGTGTTAGGAAAACAGAAGAGATAACTGTGAAACTGAGTGTGACTTGAAATGACCTACAAAGCTTTAGTTAGCTGATTACAGCAGGTATCATCAATTCTGGTCCTGGAGGGCAGGAGTCTAGTTTAACTGAGTGATTTTGTTGGTTTAGTTGGTGAGCTAAAGCAAGAAAATCACCAAACGATGCTGTACAGCATCCCTCCATCACTAGAATGGATAACCCCAGCTCTAGAGCTTTTTTCCTCTGCAGCGATGTTCTGGCAAAGCAAGTGTATCATGAAGGCTTTTGAGTTAGTATAGTATGAGCAGGCTGCGTCAGAGACACATAGGTTCTGGCTCATTTTCATCCATGCACAAACATTCATGCTCAATCTACCACAAACAAAGGTTATCAGGATTTAATTAAAAGCAACAGCTAAACACATCTGCTTGACCCATTGCTCTTCAGTCAAGCAGAGGTTGAAGCACCCAACAGGAGTAATGAAAGAGGAGGGAACACACACATACACACACACACACACACACGTTAGACAACGGACAGAAGATGTACACACTCACTATTACCATACACATAGGTGGCATCATTTTCACCAAACAATACCGTCAAAAGCAAAAAATGTAATCTCAAGTTTAGGTCTGTCATGATCCTAAAATTTCAGCTCATGTTTAATGTTAAATAACTGTGATTACACAGTTGTACAACAGGGAAATTGGCTGATTAGCTATCTTGCTTCGTAGCTGTCGAGACTTAGTAGCTCCCAACTGATGTCAGACACACCTCAGGCTCAAATAAACAAACTTTACTCACCGCTGCTCTCGAAAGGTGTTATAGGACCAGTCAGAAGTCAGAAAATTTGTTGTCTCATTATATGTCCCAATAAATGCATTCTTTGCTTTCTTTTCTTTATGTGAATTGCCTCTACTTATCAGACACAAATGCACCCAATTCTGTTTTCTGTCATATGACAAACATATGATTACAAAACCTAATTACTAAATAAACAGTCAGCTCAAATACCTGCAATTCAACAATTATGTAGTAACTGAGTAAGTGAGAGGCCTACTCAAGGTTTAGAAAATAAAGTCTATTTGAGTTTACGAGGGCTTTAACTCACAAATCAAATCCAATATGCTTCTGAATTATTTTAACTCTTCCAGTTCTAACTTTTAAAAGTGGTAGTTGTCATTTCCTATATGTTAAATTTACATTACTTAATTAGAACTAATATTAATAATACAACTACATATTTAAACATAATGAATTATATTTACATTTCATTTACATACTGTATCAACAGATTCAAGTCTGCATGTCTGCCTTAATTTGTTCTGATGCATAAAAAAAACAAAACTGAAATAACAGTAATACATTACATGTATATGAAAATTAAGCTGTAAAAACTGCCATGTTTGAATTCATTGTTGTCATGATATGATCTGTTTTTTGTCATGCCTATTCAGCCTACAGTAAATTAGCTGTGCTCATTTATGGCACAATGCTGGGCAGCTAATCAGAACAAAGGTCATTTACATATATGAGTAAAAACAGCCTGTTTAATTCTAAGACACAGGTTCCCAACCCTGAAGTACCTGCTGCCCTGCACGTTTTTTGTGTTTTCCTGTTTTAAAACAGCCAGTTCAACTCAAGAGGGCCTTGCTAATTATCTGATTAGTTGGATCAGGTGTGTTGGGAGCAGAGAAAACACCAAAATGTGCAGGGCAGGGGAAACTCCGGGACCAAAGAACCACTGTTCATGGAATAAAGAGAGGTTGGAAATGGTCATGAAACAACGTATTCTAGGATATGGGCTTTTTGTGTTTTTTTAAGTTGTAAGAGACAGTTTTTTTTTTGTTTTTTTTTTAAAAAGAGGGTATCACAGCATCTATGCCATGAGGAGCCTAAGAGGGTTAACATTATAATAATAGGTCCTGATGAAGAACATTATTACTTTTTAAAGAATGACTGAATATATTTTCAGCTGAGACCATGTACCTGGTTCGGAAGTACTGTTGACAGAAGGGACGACAACCTGAACCTCAGAACTCAGGGGCAAAATCGGGGGGTCAGCAGAGGACAAGAGAGTTGACATGTCACTCCCTGAGACACTGGAAGACGCAGGGGCCATCTGACCAAGCTCCTCACTGTGGGTCTGCACTGCCCCCTGTTGAATCTGGGAGAAGGACACCAGGGACTGTATGGCGCTAGTGAAGTTATCATGATGCTTCACCAGCTGACGCACCCACTTTGACAGGCCTGAGAGAACACGGCGAAAGACAGAGTGTTAGAGAAACAATATACCACTCCACCTGCTCTCCATTTCCATAACTATTCCACCACGTTATGGTCTATCTGTATAGGTTTTCATGTGGTAGCTATTCCTGACCTTATTCTGACCACTACATGTAAACTATCAGTTTATATTTTCATGTAATACATATTTCTGACTCTACCGTTACATGTAAAAGAGCACAGGCCTTGTGTACACATTTTCTAGCAACTGTCCATGACATTTCACGAACCAGTAAAAGACCACTATCCCCATCTAGTGTTGCAGATATGTAACTACATATGGGTGAGAACCCTGCTGTTCCATTTTCCCCTTTATAGCTTACCTGTGATGTACTTGTTGGGGTTAGCCCTAAAACGATCATCCACTAGAATAAGTGCCCCCCAGTCATTTTTATGTCGAATACACCTAAGGAAAGTTATATCAACTGTTATTTGACATGCAAATAAGCTCATTATTTTCAGTGCTTTGTATCAATTAAAATTCTACACAAAAAGTTTCAATAACTTTGAGATAATTATAAGAATCTGAGGTAATAAGACTTCGCCCAGTATAAATTTTTATGTTACTCACTAGCTATTCTGAAAAGTTCACAGATCTCTGATACATACCTTCCCAATGCCTGGTTTAGAGCCCGATAGGCCTGGATCTCATACCAGCGACCTCCAGGAAGAAGCCCTCTGGATTTGGAATGCTGATCATTGTATTTCATCTTCAGCTCAACCTGTAAATCAAACATAATTTTTGTCATTTATTTGACCTGTCATTATAGATCCTGCTCTTTATCTACCATGACAGACACAGTTGCTGCTGTGTGTAAGTTTCAAAAGCCCATATCATGGAAATGTAATTTTCCTCACTTGTTTGTTTAAATGAAAGCATTTGATGTTGAATGTAAATATTGTTTCAAAAACCTCTCACTCACTCTCCAGGCCATACTGTTCATGTACAGAAACTTCAAAAACAGTCCATTTTGAAAGCATTGTTTTTTTGTGATGTTATAAAATCCAATTCATTAATATGCATCAGTCTATTTAGTTTCTAGCAACACTTATTCTTCCTGAAGTTGAGCCCCGCCCATTCATCCTGAAGTTATAAAGCGTGTCTTAGGCTGGATGTTTTTTGGACAAGATACATTAGAGGACAGTCAATTCGAAGAGAGGTCATTTACACATATTAGTCTTAAAGGCAAAACAACAAAAACAGCATGTATAATTCTAAGGAATACAGAGAAGTGAAAATTAATCACGTAAAATTTAATGATGACTGTTTTTGGAACATAAAACCACAGAGAGTGCACCTCAGGGGAAAAAGTAGGACAGTGGTCTTCTTAAGTGATGATCAATGTGCTCCTGAGCCTCTTTTCTCCCTGGTACTAAGTCAATTTCCTCACCTGGGAATAAGGTCCAAGAAGCATTCCAATTCCTAAGGTGGAGATTCCACATACTATCCCACTCTAAGAAAATTCTAAAGACTACAAGCACATTGTATTAACACTACAGTAAACATGAAAAAACAAATGCTGGCATTTATTTCATTGCAGATGTATTTCCACAATCCAAACAACGACCAAACAGCAACACCAAACAGAAAGATACAATATATAGCAATCACTGAAGATGGCAGTGACCTTCAAAAAGTTCATCAAGTGACCTCTGTTCCAGCAAAGAAACCAAAAGAGCACCTGAGCACGGGACGGCAGAGCAGTCATCTGGTCACCCACTGAGAACTAACTGGATTAATACAGGCTGAATGGGTGAGAGGGCGAGCAGCAGAGGGCAAGATTCCCCTGAAGATGACACCCAGGGCCTCAAGAGCTTTCAGAAATGCTCGCCCACATTCACTGAAGCATTCTGTTTTGGGTGGAGGAGGGGGTGGTGGAACGAACTGGAAGGACCACTAGATGACATGAGCCTTGCCATCCAAAAAGCCAAAGGTAGTATCCATCAATTTTCACCCATCACTCTGCTTTTTAGCGCTAACCTTTTTGAGCTGACAAGTGAAAAGTTCAGCTCCTGTTGGATGGGACAGGTCAGCAGGGGCTTCTAACTGCTTGTGACAGGTACCGTGTGTCCAGAAGCACCCACTCAGAGCCAGAGCTGCGCAAGGCCATGACCGGTACAGGTACGGCCTGTTCCCAGCACACGTCAGCTGCAACATGTCTTTTCATTCCACTCACAAGCTTATGTATCATCTCTGGTAAGACTGCCTGTTCACATACAGCGTTGCTCAAACGCTGTAATAACATATTTATAGGCATATTCAGTGACAAACACACATCCACACCTACGGTACGGTTTGCCAAGCTTGATATGACTCACACATGATGCTAATTCTCAGTCTCATGGAGCCACCAGAAGGGTTAAACATGTCTGGATGGAGAGCCTGTCATCAGAATAAAGGCCGCTTGCCCGAGGCTGCCGATGTCATCTAAATCCAATCAGGGTCCATTTCAGCATCAGGCCCTTCACCTTCCTGCACCACATCAACACTCGATCCGACATGACAGGTTGCATATGTGAAAAAGCCAATTCTCGCTGCTAGCCAAATCTCCTAAATGTGCAAGAAACCACAAGCTGGAAGGGATTAGTTAAATGTCAGGAGATAGCCCACTCCTGTGCCTATTTCAACTTCTCTACCTGTTCATCCTTAAAAACAGACATCTGACTGAAAGGCATGCTTCACGGATGACCGGCTGTGTGTGCGTATGCACCCTTGGCGGTCTCAGCCATCTTGTTTGTGTCACTGAAATCTTGGTGCACCATGTCCGCCCGGGCAATTGTGCTGACAGCAAAGTGGCTCACGCTCACTGCTGCCTGACTCTGTCTGTGTGTGAAGATTACACTGTCCACCCAACAGGGGTATAATGTGGCATAAACACTTGCATGTACACACAAAATGCACATGCATTTCATCATTTAAAAACACCTGTTTACGCAATAGACAACTGCTGAAAATGTTGAAAGGGTGTGAGAGTGCGCTTATTAAAGTAGAATAGAATAATTATTCAAATGGGCCTGAAATTTTTTTCCGAACCTAAACGCGGCCAGAACTTTCTGTTCAAGTTCGAATTCAACCTGAACCCACTAACATTTTGCCCAAACCCAACCCAAAGCACATCAAGCGTCCAAAACTGACCTGAGCTCAACAAAACTGATCTAAAGCAGCCTAGCACCACCCAAAGTGCCAAATAAAACCTGCATAGTGACAGTAATATCCAACATTAAATCATGGATAAATAAAAAAAATGAATCATTGCTGTCCACAGAAAAACAAGTATCTCCAAAATGGTTACTTTACAGGAGAAGGCAAAAATGTTCATTATTTTAATGTAAGTTAAAGAGATTTTATTCCAAGCAATTTAGGAGCATTAATATTTGTCCATTCATTATGAAACTGTTGCACTGCTGTGTTCAAATAATGTAGAAATAAAAATAAAAAAGGGAGAAACTTAAAAGAAAACCTTTACAAAAGTTTAGTTTACTTTGTTTTTTTTGGACAGTGACAATATATAAAATAATATAATAAAATTATTAGCTGTTCAAAATTAAGATAAAATAATATCCAAGTTTTTTTTTTATCTGAATAAACTTTGCATAATATTCTGTTCTCATATTGTGTGATGCTAGTATAACAAGATGTTAGTCCACACATGTTTAATCCTACAACTTTATTTCTATATAGAGCACATTACATACAACAAATTGAACACAAATAATTTCAATGATCAATTTGCTGTTTTATTTCTAGCAAAGACATGCAACACTTATCTGCAGAGTGTTACAAATGCACTAAAATTGATGGCATCAGCTGAAGTAAAAAAATACCTGCGTGTATTATGGGGTCTATGAAACAGAAGGGGGCTGATGGTGTATTTGACACACTTAAGAAGAAAGAATTAGTGCAAGAGGAGTGTGTGCACATGATAGAAAGTCTGGGTGACCCCTTAAAGTGTCCTGACAGCTCTGTCACAGCTTGGCGGCATCAGCTGCACCTGTGAGAGCCCACTGAGAAGCATTAAAGTGTGAGTGCGTGTGTATGTGTGTGTGTGTGTGTGGCTATGGGCAGTGCACACTGACAGTCATTAGTGTCAGTGTCCTCTGTTCTCTCTGCACTAATGGGGTCATCTCCTAGACCCCAGAAACCCCCAAAGGGTTCCGTGTCAGCTCTGTGTCACCTCCCTGTATGACTGTCACCTAACTGTTCTCTATGAGCAGCACAAGCTCAGCAGGCCACAGGCACAGCACAACAGCCTTCTATCACGCAAGAAAACACTGACATTTAGCACATCAATCAGATCTATGAATCTATAGTTAATATGTTTTGCATTCAGATCAGGCATTTCCTTCTGCTCTACAGACTGTGAGAAGTTCCAAGTGACAAAATGTTCCAAAAAGCTTTCACCCTGAGCCATATTCTTAAAGGTCTAGACCAGTAAAAGAAAAAAAAAATAGCTGTTAAGTAATCTCAAATAGACTTGTTTATTTGGTTTCTGACACTGTATGTTATCTATAAACAAAAATGAAAAGGATGAAAAGGAAATTCAGGCTTTAAGACAGCTGCTATTAGAGTTGACCATTCTGAAAATTTTTTACATTTCAGTATCTTAAGGGTTAAAGACTGGATATTCCGGGGCAGTGGAGAAGACCTTGACTTGTATCAACATTTCAAGTTGTATTTGTTAAAGGCCAAGAGCCTCACTTTTGCGAACATAGCACAAACTCAAAAACAGGCCCAAAATCATGGCACTGGCAGACACGAGTGTGGCAGATATACTTTTAGTTTTTTTTCCAACCACTGGCTTAGGCACTAAAGCAACATTATAAAAACAGATGAGGTTGGAATAAATATATTGTATTGAAGCATGGTTAGGCGTGCTGCAGCGTTGTCCAATCAAATCAGCTTTTCTTATTTAATTTAAACTTTAAGAGCTACACTGACAGCACAGCACAACAATATTTTACTAACGGCAGGGTATCACTGTCTTCAGATAAAATACAGGCTTACCTAAAGCCTATGTACACACACACACACACACACACATACACATATATATATATATATATATATATATATATATATATATATATATATATATATATATATATATACACACACATATACACATATATATACATATATATATATATATATATACACACATATATATACACATACATACACATACATACATACATATATATATATATATATATATATATATATATATATATATATATATATATATATAAACATATTTCTTTTAGCTACTAAAGTGGTAGATGAAGAAGAGGCTTGCCTTTCAGATGAGACAATAAGCTAACACTAGAGCTAAAAGGTACAACCTTAGATGGGGTGCTGCCCTGTGAAGTTACATGACAAATACCCAAATAGCATTTTAACTACCAATACTACCACCAGGAACAGTAAACCAGGTGATTCCACACACATCTTCTCTCACCTATACAGCCTATGCCAACCTGAGCGTCTCCGGAAGACTCACAGATTTTAAATTATCTGGGGACAGAGTGAGGAGACACAGAGCAGCAAACAAACACTCTGGACTGCTGCTGAGCACAACGTGGCATTTGAGACATCAAAAGCCTTTAAGGTTGTGGCAGCATCCCCTTTCGGTCCATCAGCTCAATGTTTGACCAGCATGCTTAGAAACAACCTGCCTGATTAAAGCCTATCTGATGACCCCTCACCGAAAAAAAACAAAAAAAAAACAAAAAAAAAAATCACATTCAAATGGCAAACCCGATCGGTTTCCAGTGGAGCAGAAGTGAAAAAAAATCAAAGGCCTTCCTCAGAGGTAAACCAGTCATCGTACCAACAGCTTCTGCTAAGGTGAAGGGCTAGGAAGCATCAATCATCTGTACATGTCCTCATGGTGACAGACATAGTTAGAAAAGCTTCAACATGCTCTGACAGCAAGGGGCACAAAGGGGGAGCTTAAAGGTCGAGACTATCTGCTAAGGACAGAGAAATTTTTACAGACCACAAAAAAGGGCTGTGTCACTCAAGGTTCATAAAAACACCCAAGCTTCAAAGGGAATGTGCAGCAGACAACTGTTTTCCCACACCACAAAACCCTGATATCACTGAAACTGCCAAAAGATTTTTATGAAGCTTAGCAAATAAAATGTTGGAAATAAATCACTTAAATTATACTCCGGCAACTGTGATGACTACAGTGATAATACATCATATACGCAGCAGCACAAGAGGAGTAAGGCACTACCTGAAGGTCTTTGATGTTGGGGAAGGGAATGCCAATAGTGACCACCGCTCTAGCATTGTCATCAGTGAAGTCCAGTCCCTCACTCACTTTCCCTCTGCATACTGCAATCAGCAGTGCTCCATCTACAAAGAGGAAAAATAATTTTAAAAAATCATCAGCATCATCTCCATCAGCAAATAAATGCCTATTATAATGCATAAAAGTGTTTTCAGAGAAAACTGGACAAGATGACAACTACAGCATGGGAGGAGTGTCCTGCCTCTCACCTCTGGGTCCACTTTGTCTGATGGCCTCATAGTACGTTTGCAGCAGCTCATCAAAGTCGCTCTTTGCTCCTCCACGTGGTTCTGCAATCACAGTCTTCCGCTCCTCCAGTTTCTCCCACAAGCCTGTGTTCATCCAGCGGTCCCTCAGCTTATCCAGCATCTACTAAGACATATGTTTTCATCAGCGACAGCAACACACATTCAGTGCATATGGAACACAGTCTATAGCAGGGGTGTCAAACTGAACCACTAAAAGATTACATGAATATTTGAAACATTCAAAATTTAAATGTTTCCAGGATGCAGGTCTTTTAAACGTACCTATTTGCTTGAACTAAACGCCTGGCACCTTTTCTCTGCTGCAAGTTTATTCATTGTTGGGCTCAATTTCTGAGCTGCTGAGCTAACATTAAGTGTTTATGTTGGTTGAACTGTAGCTGAAACGCAGCTAGTGTGTTTGGTGATATCACTGTTGAGAAATTGTGTAGAACTGTGGTGTAACCGCTGTCCCAGAGATTGTTGTTGGGGGAGGAGAGTCAGAGCACACAAGCTAATATTAATAGAAAATTAAAATACTTTTGCGGGCCGAATAGGATTGCGTTGTGGGCCTGATCTGGCCCGCGGGCATTAACACATGGGGTCTATAGCATGCATTCTTACATTTGATGTAAAGAGTAATATTTCCCCTGAAAGAAATCAATATATTTCAATTACTAGCAACAATACAAACACATGATACACTGAACTCAAACCGTATGTACAGTTGTATTCAAAAGTCTGAACAAATTCTTTTTTGTTGATTTTCTAAGTGAAAATGAGTTAGCACATCCTCTACCGTGAACAAACGTTTGCATTTTTCTTTAAATTTTAGTGCCCAATATCTATACAGTATCCATGCAATCAGAGTTTAAAATATTGACCAAAAATAAAACATAAAACGTGCCATAATTTTTTACACAGGCCACATGTTATGCTTTAGTTTTTCCATTATGTTAAATTAAGTAAATAAAAAGAAATTGTGCATTAAAATGTGCAGAAATGTGTTCTCCATAGATGATGTGTTATCTTATTTTTACTTAGAACAATCAACAAATGTCTTTTGACCCGGAGTGTCCAACTCTATTTATGCAAACCCAGTAAGAATGAATTGATATAGGAATTGTAGACCAATGGCCATATCCAATATTGTTCATGTACATACCTGCCAATGCCGATATCAATGCTGATACATAAACATTTGTAAAATACAGTAATTTGAGATAGATCCACCTGGATTAGCATCATGGAGAAATATGAATGCATTTGTAGAGGGTTCCAAATCCAGTAAAATTAATAAAATGCAGAGATTTTAAAACAGTAGCCCAGCATCACCTAAAGATTCTGCTTTTCCAGAGTACAATAAAAACAGCATCAAATATACATATCAAATATCAGTCAAATCTAAACCGATTGTATGATGCTGATATTTTACTTTAAGCAAATATCTGTCAATACTGACATGATTCCGATATCATTGTGCATCCCTAATATTCAGGGGAGGTTCATGTTGAATGTTATTCTTGAGTAAAGTACAGAGGTAAAAAAATTAATTTAACTGTACATGTACATGTTGTGTTCTTAAGAATGATAAGCTTTTAACTTGCACTGCAATCTGCCTGTATAACATGCTGCAAAGTTCACAGAATGACATTTTCCATCTCCCTCTCACGCACTTCTCTTCACTGGGCATGAAGTTTGTACTCTCCCCATAATAAAAATCACTGTTGTAGCGCTATTGTTAGTGCAAAAAGTCAGCGGCTCTCTAGGGAGGAACATTGATCTAAAAGCCTTCTTCCACACAGAGACTGACTTGTGTCTCAGTGGTGCGCATTTTCCTCTTGAATAAGCATGCCTTCCCAATCAAAGAGAATCTCCACTGGCTTGGAAATGTGTTAGAAGGGTCAAGTAGAAGTTCTTCTTATAGTCAGCAGAAAACTTCTCACAACACTGCAAAAGTGTTGGTTGTATGTCATTCATTCTCACTGCCAGAGGCGGTGGAAAGCATAGTTGAAACTCCGTGGGCGCCTGCATACAAATCCTTCCTCTTCTTGCAGCACCGCAGATTTACAGCTTGGATTGCTTGGATGTACAGCCCAGTGTACAGCCCAGTGTACAGCTAAACTTCAAGATCTTTATTTGTCCTCCACAGGCTGGAAGAAAAGAAACTAAGTAATAGTTACTACCTGGCTATCATGGTAGTGTAAGTAGCTCCTTGCTTATACAGAATTACAAATGTGGCTCTACTGCCAATTGCCAAGTAGTTCCATATCAGTGGGTAGCTGTTGAGCCACTTCCTAGCTCAACCTCCAGCTCAACCTCCAGCTCCAGCTCCAGCTCCAGCTCAACCACCAGCTCAACCACCAGCTCACAATTTAGATGGCACTTCTAGTTGAGTATTGCAGATATCTGGTAATATCTTTAACTGACACTTTTTGGAATCACTCAAGTTCCTGTGCAACCACATCCAGAAACCTGCAGTCTGATGATCCAGTTCTACACAGCAATCATCGAGTCCATCCTCACATCATCCATAACCATCTGGTTTGGTTCCTCCACCACACAAGAACGAGCCAAACTCCAGTGCATAATCAGAACAGCAGAGAGGATCACTGGATGTAGTCTGCCAGCGCTTCAGGACCACTACAACAGAAGGACGATGAAGCACGCTGGCAAAATTAAAGCTGACCCCTCTCATTCTGAACCTCTTCCAGTCACTCTCCTCTAATAGAAGGTTCAGGGCTGCAGATCTGAATGATACGGCAAAAAGCTAATTTAACGATACACAATATATAATGATATTTATTTTTTCTAACGTCAGGTAAGTCGGAACAAACAAAATAGTGCAACATTTAAAAAATACATGAATAACTAGGAGTCCAATTATTTGGATCCAACATTTCACATGCTATGCCACACTACATTTAATTAAATACGAATATAAGCAGCTGGGAAGTGTTTTTAAGTATTGACAATATCCACTATTTACTCAGAAAAGCATACTGTCACATATCATGATGTCATTTATCACAATAACGATATTGTTGATTCGCCCTACTCTACAAGGCCACCAAAACCAGCCGAACCAGACATGCTAACAGCTTTTTCCAATTACACTTTGCAGTATAATTTTAAACTGAAACCAACAAACCTCCCTTACTGCACTACAGTAACAAGAATGCACTAAGCAAGAGAATGCTTATTTGCACAACTGTAAAAAATGTCTACAATGTTAATTTCAGTCTGTAATATTCTGTACATAATAGTTCTTACCTTATATGTCAACTGAGACCTGCATATGTATAGATACACATATCTGCATATGTACAGATATTCACATATCGATTTAGCTTATTTCACATTTGCTCTTTATTATTCTTTATTCTATTCATTATATTTTTGTTTGTCGCCGAGTTATAAATATTTGATAATGAATTGTGTGCTTGTCTGGTCTGTTTAGTATGTTACGTCATACATGGGTGCAGTCACCAAGACAAATTCCTTGTATGTGTAACATACAAGTAACAAAAATGCCAAAATAAAGTGATTCTGATTCTGAATATCTGAAGATAACTTCATGCACACCACAATAGTTTTTTTTCCAGATCTCCTCAATGTCATATCCCCTCAACAGGTCATCAGTGTATTGAACTGGCTTCCCTGTTGTGCTCAATCTTGGCCTTGAAGTATCATGGAGGCTAGAAGAAACAGGTGCCAAACAGACAGAAATTTGTTTGCTCCAGGGAAAGGAATGAAGAGGCCTGTTTGTCATAACAGAATCTTTTGACAAAGCCTACATGTTCATCATATAATAGCAAGTATATGCTATTATATACAGAAACAGTATATAACTAGAATATAACTATTAAATACAGAAATCAACACCTGTCTTCTCACCTTGTTTTTGGATATATTTACAGTTATGTGAAAAAGTAGGAGATCACCCTTCATTTCCAGCAAAAACAGCCAGTCAAAGTAATTCATTTTTCACATAATATTTGAGATCAGATATAAACTAATCCACCTGCATAAGGAAGGGGGAAAGCAAAGGAAAATAAGAGTTTCCAAGTTCAAACAAATCTTAAAAAATACAGCAAAAATGTAACAAGTGCCTGACAGACCACCAAAACTGTCACCATCAGATAAACACTACCTAAAGCTTTCGTCTGTGAGAGACAGAAGAAAATTCAGCCCTACTCTTAAAAAATCCTCAGGTGTTTGTGTCCAACCAGTGTTAGATCATAAGAAGCATAAAATTAAACCAATTATTAAGACTGAAATTTGGTGGTGTGGAAAAATTTTCCTGCAGATTTCTTTGAAAAAGCAAGTCTCCTGAAAAGAATAGAAACTGTAAAATGCAAAAGGTGGACATGCCTATCACTGAAAAATCTGATATTTAGTTACCGAAGCAACAAAAAACGAATAACACATTTAATGGCCATGTTGATTGGAAAATCAATAAATAAAGGGTAGCCTCACAGTACTGCACATAGTGGGCAGTGCACTTCATCTTTGCTCTTTTGCGTCTCCTGATCCTGCAAAGTCTGTGTGCCTTCCACTCACACAACACAGCAGTGATCCTATGAATATCAGATGACCGCCAGAGTTGTCTGTGAATCAGAATCTGCAAGCGGATTCCAGGAGGATGTCTTACATGCGAGCAGGCTATTTGTATTACTGACTGCATCACATGGCAGATCACTCGGTGACTTTGTTGGTGTAAGATCTCAACCTGTGAACAGGTGCATGAGGATTATCCACTGTGCTCTGCACTTCATCTGGCAGTCATTTAGAATGTGTTCAAATAAGTTCAGTCACATTTATAATTCACAGAATCAATTTGGATGGGCCTTATAGACTCGTATATCACAGCAGCTTTTCCATTACAGATACAAAGCTACAGTAATACTAATAATAACTTTGGCACACTAAAAAGATAGCATCTAAGAGAAATGGAAATGTGTTACATTTCAAATGTTGTGACTGCTTCACTGGAAAGGGGAAAATTAAACCTAAGAGACCTAATGTGTCTATTACAAAGGTGTAACTGCACCATCTCAGCATAAATGTGTTCAGAAGCTTACATAATAATGGCTCTTGGTGAACATTATCATTTATTATTCA